ACTTGCTTCTCTTTCTGCAGTAATGGCCCTTGGGAACGCTTCGGTTGGATTTTATACCGCTTTGCTCTTCTGCCTTTGGGAACTCTTGTTCATCCACGGACTCAGCCTGGAGCCCATCTACTGGAACACTTCGAACAAAAAGTAAGGCCCTTCGCTGGGCGCCCGGGAATGCGTGCATTGTGTGCGGAGCGAGCTTCAGGTGCCCTAAGAATGTGCCCATTTTGTTTCGGTGGGGGGGGGGGGGGAGAATGGCTTGTGTGCAAAAGAGTCGGGGAGGGGAGTCGAGTCGGTTGGGTTTTCTCCTCGCTTTGTTTTAAATCTGGTCTGGATGCTCCGGGGGCAGATCCTTTAAGCCGACAAGCAGAGGGGGCCGGGGAAAACCTCAGTGGTCGGAGATGCCCAAGGGCTTGGGGCGGTGGGGCAGCAGATGAAGACGAAGCAGCCTCCCTCCCCCCTCCCCCCCCAGCAGTCTCAGGCCAGCTGTGAACGCGTGAACCCGTTTCCCTTCCCCAAACTTTTGGAATCTCCATTTTCACCTCCGCTTTTTGCATTTTGAACAAAACGGGGTGGCAAAAATGACATGGCCTTGGCTCGGATCTGGGGGCGAGGGGTGTACACAGACACAATACACACAGAGAAACAGTTTTCCCCCTGTGCCTTCTCCCACCCACCCCCCAAAAGTGTGATTTCTTTCCCCTGCTCATGTTTTTCTGGAGAAAGAGTTTGGGGACCGGATTCGGCTGGTTTGTAAGGTTAGGCATGTCCCTACCAAAGGATAATGCACGTGAAATGTGAAATATTACTTTGACGGTATCTTAAAGTTGGTTGGCAAGTGTGTGTGTGTGTGTGTGTGCATCAACCCCCTAAACTGGTTTACTTGCAAATTAAACCTGGAATGTCAGCAGTTTCAACAGGGTTTGCATTGTCTCTATTTCAGTTTTAGCAATCGCTTAAAAATCACGGTCAATGAATCTTGAAATGAAGCAGGCTAATTACTTTGCTCTGTGCAGTACTGTACTTCTGACTGCAGTGTGTGCATTTATTGCTATTCAGAGACACAGAGGGTATCTCAAGGTAGGGGTGTGTGTGTGTGTGTGTGCACGCGTGTGTATCTGCTGGTGCTTCCACTTTGTGATTTGGGTGGGTCTGTGTGGATGGCATTCTGCAATTCCCAAGTGTGTGGCTGTGATTGTGTGTTCTTCTCTTCCCCTCCTGCCTGCGTGAATTAAAATTGTGAAATTCGTCAATCCTGTTTGCCCCCATCCATCACAGAGTGGGTCTGTGCGAGCCTTCCAAAGTGGATTGGAACCGGATCAGTGTAACTTCTTGGCAGTCCTTTCTTGAAAAGGTGTGTGTGTTTGTGCAGGGAGCCCACACATTCTTCAAGACTGGGGAGATCAAAGAAGAACTTTTTCATCTGTTCCTCCTTGTCTTTAATGGGAGCCTCCTGCCACTTTCCCCAGTCAATTCCCAAGTCACAATAAGCTCCCCCACTTTTGTCTCATTCTCTCTGCTTGTCTTGCACACTTACACGCTCAAACCTCTCCTTGAGTCCAGCCTGACTCCCATCTGTTAACAATTGTGGCTAAATCCCCAATAACTTCTGAAACTCAAGTCCTCCTTGCACACTTTTTTAAGGGAGGGAGGAGGAAGAGGCCGACTTGGAATAATTTATATAGAAACTGGATTTGGGATTACGTCATTTTTCAGACATGGTACAGTTGAGGGGGGCGATAAAAGAATTTGGGGGAGGGGGGAAGAGGCAAGCTTCGAGATGGGTTGTCAGAAAATCTCTCTCTTGCACATTAGAAGGAAAAAAATCCTGTGATTCATAAGTGCTACAATTTGCGCTCTGTCACCATGCGAGGCAACGCTTCCTAGCAACAGAAATATATATATTAGAACTTAATGAGCCCTATTTGCTTAAATCACGCTGTGTATTTTTCTCTCTCCTGACTTCTGATGTTTTCCTTTTCCTTCCCTCACCTTAACCCTCTCATCCAAAAGGAAAACGGGTCTCTCACTTTTGGGGTGAAGAGACCCTG